GGGGATTTTTTTTTTTTTTATTTTATTTTTTTTTTGGGGGATCCTCCTGCCCTTGCTCCCAGCTCCAAATCTTCTCCTGCTTTCCCTGCTGGATTTCCTGGGCTCGTTTTTCCAGGGACAGCGTGGAGAACGTGCAGGGTGTGCTGCCTGCTGCTCATTTATCCTTGCAACTGAGATTCCTCTGATGCAATTTGCTGCTCCTGTGGGATGTGCCCAGCTCACATTCCCACTTTAATCTGCTTTTTCCTGTTCAGCTCTGACTCCTAGGAAGTTAATTAGCTGCACATCCCCATTGCCTGGGTCAGGTGGGGAGGGTTGTTTTGTTTTGTTTTGTTTTTTTTTTGTGGATTTGATGAAGTTTTGGGGTGTGGAGCTGCAGGAATTGGAGTTTTTCCCTCCTGGAGGAGGGGAGAGGATGGAGCTGGGGATGCCAGCCTGGCTCCTGCATTCCTGCTTTGCTTGGATTTGCTTTGCCCAGGGCAGAATAAACAACAGCCCTGGTGTTTGTTTGGTTTTGTGGAGCCCTGGCCCTTTTCCACAGGCTCAGGGAGGAAGGAGGGATCTGGCTCTGAGGATGAAGGAGGAGAAAGTTTGTTTTTTTGGGAATGTAGCAAAGCCTTCCATTGGGAATCATCCCTCCCTTTCCCTTGGGAAAAATCCTTCCTTTCCCTTGGGAAAATCCTTCCCTTTCCCTTGGGAAAAATCCTTCCCATCCATGGGAAAAATCCTTCCCTTCCCTTGGGAAAATCCTTCCTTTCCCTTGGGAAAAATCCTTCCCATCCATGGGGAAAATCCTTCCCCTTCCATCTTCCAGTAAAGCAGAGTTACCTGAGCTTGGCTTTTATGAATTGATCCATGAGGGATTGATCCCTGTCTCCTGTCCCAGCTGGGATTTCTGGATGAAAAAAATCAAACCCAAACCCACCCATGGCATCCTCTGAAAAACTCAGAAACCCCAAAGGTTTTTTTTTTTTTTCCATCTCTTTATCCATGGAAAACCTGGACAAAGAGGTTTTATCCTGTTGGATAAAGAGTTTTTATCCACCCCTGTGCTGTGGTTTAGTGCTTCAAATCCAGTGGTGGCTGGATAGGTTGGAATTATTTGCCAAAAACCCTCACAAAATCCTAATTATCCTAATTTCCACCAAAGCATTTTGTTTTATTAGTGGAGGTGAAGGCTTATTTACTGCCGCAGTGCAATTTGTCAGCTGCTCTTAATTAGAATTCTCTCTCATTATGCATCAAGCATTTCATAAAAACATAATTTGGGAAGCCCCAGAGCTGGAGCTGCCTCTGAGTCAGGGTTAAATTCCCTCCCACCATGGTCAGGTTTTTTGGGATCTGGAGAAGTTTAATGGGGTGGGGTGGGGTGGAAAATCCCTTTGGAAAAAACAAGAAAGGGCTGAGAAAAACTGGCTTAATTCTTAATTGATAATTCTTAATTGATAATTCTTAATTGATAATTCTTAATTCCTGCTCTGGATAGAGCTCTGTCCATCATTCCCTTCTCCAGCCTGGAGCAGGAATTGCTGGGAAAGCTCCTGATATTCCTGATGGATAAATAAATCCTGATGGATTAAACCCTGATAGATGATGGATAAACCCAGATATATAAACCCTGATATGGATAAACCCTGATATAGATAGATAAACCCTGATTTGGATAAATAAACCCTGATAGATAAATAAATCCTGATAGATGATGGATAAACCCAGATATATAAACCCTGATATGGATAAATCCTGATATAGATAGATAAACCCTGATTTGGATAAATAAACCCTGATAGATGATGGATAAACCCTGATATATAAACGAGGTTTTCCCCTCCTCCTGCTCAGCCTTTGCTGACTGAATTTTGATTTTTTTAATTTTTTTTTTAATTTTGGGCCTGGCTCAGCATTGTAAAAGAGAAGTTTCCCACAAGGAGGAGCACAAAAGGATCTCCCCCGTGCTCTGACTCCTGTTTATCCGGGGCTGCCAACGCTCCCCGAGCTGTTCTTTGATCTCAAAATGTGCCTTGGAATTTGCTCAAAGCACAACCCCGAATTAATTCCTCCACGCTGAAAGGCAAACCTGCCATTAAGGTGTCAGGGAAAGCAGTGAGAGAGGTTTGGGGGAAGGCAGGGAGAGGGAAATTGATTCCATGGGGATCACAAAGAGGAAAAAAAAAAAAAATAAACCATCCCCAGGGCTCTGGAGGTGCAGGGGAGCTCTGGGGATTGGGAAGGAAAGGTCCAGAAATCCACAGAGAAAAAAATGCACAGGGAAAAAATCCACAGGGAAAAAAAATCCACAGGGAAAAAAATCCACTGGGAAAAAAAATCCACAGAGAGAAAAATCCACAGGCAAAAATCCACAGGCAAAAAAAATCCACTGGGAAAAATCCACAGGGAGAAAAATCCACAGGGAGAAAAATCCACAGAGAAAAAAAATCACAGGCAAAATAATTCACAGAAATCCCGGGGTTTCCCAGCAGTTCTGCTCCCCTCAGGCTGAGCCCTCCCAGATCTGCAGCCAGGGAGGTGCAGGGGGTGTTGGGGGGGGGCTGCTCCTGGAAAAAAAAAAAAATCCTTTATGTAGGAAAGAAGGTGTCCTATATGGGAAAATGATATAAAATGGATATTTTAAAAAATACATGTATTTTTAGGCAAAGCAAGGATTTAGGGTGTATATATATATATATTTTTTTTAAATCTAAAAATATCCATTTTATATCAAAAATGATCCTTTTTCTCCCATACAAAGGACACCTTCTTTCCTACATCAATTACATTTTTTCCCCCCCTCATTTTTGCTTTTCCACACAGGGTCAGGCCAATCCCACACCACCCCCACCATGAGCAGAGCAATGCGAGCCCCCCACATCCCAGAATAATTTTCCCTCCAAGTTCTTCCTCTCCAAATCTCTCCCTGTTTTTTGCTTATTACTTTTTTTTTTTTTTTTCCCTGCAAATAATCAACCCCCGTGGTTATTTCTGCTGACGCTAATTACTGCCACGGACTAATTAATGCGGGTTGCCTTTCCTCTCGTCCCTGCCGTGTTTTTTTAACCCACTGACACATTGCAATTAGGAATTCAGGCTCCGGGCTGGGCTGACTCACAACAGGCTCAGCTGGGATCGCTCCCGTGCTTTCCTGAAGGTCACCGATATTGTCACCGATATTGTCACCGATATTGTCACCGATATTGTCACCGATTGTCCCCCCCCTGCCCAAATCCAGCTGGAGTTGCCTCCACCTCGGGGCGGGTTTGTGGTATTTTTAATTTTTTTTTTAAATTTTAATTTTTATTATTTTTTGGGGGTTTTTTTGTTTGTTTGTTTGGGTTTTTTTGTTGTTTTTTTGGGGGGGATGCTGCTCCTTTTCCGGAGGTGAAAAATCTATTTGGGTTTAGCAGGACGGGAAGGGTGGGAAGAGATTTTTGGGTGATGGGAAAGGATGGACAGGACACAGGGCAGGGCTGGATGGGATTTTGGGATTTTCCATCCCTGGGAGTGTCCCAGGCCAGGTTTGGAACACCCTGGGACGGTGGGAGGGGTGGGCTGGGATGGGATGAGCTTCGAGATCCTTCCCACCCAAACCATTCCAGGATTCTGTGTCAGGATTCCCTCCTTGTTTAGGGACAGCAGCAGCTCCCGTCCCCAGTGCCTTCATTCCTCATCCCAGTGAAATTCCCCTTTTCCTTTGCTGTGCCAGCTTTTGCTGGAAAACTCCTCCATCCCTTGCTGCTCTCCCAGCTCCTGCAGGGGAGGGGAGGCTTTCCCAAATCCTCCGGGGATTTAATCCCAGCTCAAACCTGAAGCTCTGCTGGGAGGGAAGGCTCTCCCATCTCCCCAGGGATTTAATCCCAGCTCCTACAGGTGATCCCAGCTCAGACCTGCAGCTCTCCCATCTCCCCAGGGATTTAATCCCAGCTCAGACCTGCAGGAGCTGGGAGGGAAGGCTCGGCTCTCCCACATCCCCAGGGGTTTAATCCCAGCTCCCCAGGCTGGAGCTGCTGGGTTAGGGGAGGTGAGAGCTCCGGGCTGAACCGCAGAGCTGTGATTAGTATTAATAGCCCTGCTCAGACTCGTTATGCAAATGAGGGGAGAGGAGCCCATTGAGTTATTTATTCATCTTTAACCTTTGGGCTGGGTTCGTGTGACCCCCCCAGTGAGGCTCCGGTTACTGCTCTGCCTCAGGGGAGCTGCTTCACCCTGCTGCCCTCACCCCAGCGCTTCAGCCCTGCTCTGGGGGTGATCCCAGGTGATCCCACCTGGATATTCCTCCCTGTGACTGCTCCTGAGTGATCCCACCTGGA